TCGTCTTGGTTGTGCCTGACAATTCCATCCATGTACAACACAAACAGTAGAGGAGACAGGATGCAGCCATGGCGGTGAACAGTGGCAACATTGAACGACTTCGACTTAACGCCATTTACTACGACTCGGTACCTGCCATCAGCATATAGTGATGGCACCGCCCGAAGCAACTCTCCGTCGATCCCATGTTTCCAGGGATGCCAACAGGCTGCTGAGCGGGGTCCGGTTATAGGCTTTTTATGTCAGCAAACCATATCTATACCTCATGTGAGACCTCCCACGACTTGTTGAGTGAATATATGGTCAAACGTGCTTCGACCGGACCGGAACTGTTACTGCTCTGCTTGTATCTTGAGACATCATTCCGCGGCACTTTCTTTCTAGCACCTTTACGTAGACTTTATCTGGGAGGCTCAATAAGGAGCACTATCTACGGTCTTCGTTCTTGAACAGGGGGACAACAACCTCCGTTCTTCAATCCGCTGATGTCTTCCCCCTAGCCATTGCAGTTTGACAGACACGTATAAGCCAGCACACACCTTGTTTGCTTAATGCTTCGAGCTTTTCAGGGCGGATTACATCAGTTCAAGCAGCCCTTCCACTTTTCAAGCTTTTTATAGCTTGTGTAATCTACAGAGATAGTAGAATCCGTTTCCTGCTGCTCTACAGGCGGTCTTCCTGAGGTTGCTAGGGGTTAAAGAGTTCCTCAAAGTATTCCCTCCATCGCAGAAGAATGTCATCATCCTTGGTAAGAGGGTGTCCAGATCTGTACTTAAAAACTCTTACACTGTCCTTCTTTTCTCCCCTTAGCCAGCTCATGGTTTGCCAGAATACTTTAATTGCCGTGTAGAAATTCGACACCTTATCGAACTTTTTCTAGGAACCAGCTTTAGCTTTTGCCACTGCCTTCGCAGCCACCTTGGGTGCCTCGACGTATCGTAGGCGAGTAGAAGGCTCTGTGTTTCCAAGCCATTTCTTGAACGCTGCTTTCTTCTCTTTAACTGCCAGCTGTACCTCTCGTGTCCACCGTGAAGATCTTTTCTGACCTCCAGGCGGCAAGCCAACCCGTTTTAAATCCGCAGCATTCCCGGCAGCCTCCAGTATGCCGCTCTTACAGAGCTGCCACTCGGTTTTCGCACTACTGGGATCTGCTCAAACCGTCGTGCGATGTTGTTTGCGAACTTCGTTCTCGTGTCCAACGAAGATAATGTTTCCCATTTGATTCTCTGGTTGCTTCTGCCACCAGATCTTCGTATGGTACTCATTTCTTACAGCGCAGCGTGCCAACAACGTGGTGATCGTCTGACAACTCTGTACTTCTCTTAACTCGAACATTACAGAGCATGGCAAGTCACAAGATACGATTATGAAATCAATCATCGACTTCTGTGCACAAGCTTCCCTGTACCAGGTATGCTGACGCACTCTTCGATGCTCGAAGAAGGTATTCATAAGGGATAGTCCGTTGTTTACACAAAACCGCAGCAGCTTCGTGTTCTTATTGGTGAGATCGCTAGGACCGTCTTTTCCGGTCACGCCTTTCCACCTTTCAGCGTCTACTCTGACATGCGCGTTCTGCCATTGCAGCTCATCAGAACAGCTGCCTTTAAAATCTTAAAAAAGCACATGATTTCAGATCAGGTCGAAGCATTTTGGATCAGATCAATATTTT